ACCATCTATTCCTGGAGCCTTATTTTTGGCCATGTCCTTCAAAGCAGCCTGAACTTCTTCTTTCATCACCATAGGCTCTTGCTCATATGTTGTCTCATGAAATTCTTCTGTGTCTTCCAATTCCTTTCGATACAGGAAAAGGGTACAATACAAGATGAGAAAGTTTGAAATATCAAAAAACGACCAGCTGGAGCGCAGGGGCTAGCAGTGAGTTTGCACTGTTGGGAAAATGGCACAGACAGACTTGCTGGATTCAGGGTTGCCACAGACTTTCCATTCATAGACAATGCAGTGTCCTCGAGGCACAGTGGCCGGAAAGCAAGGCTGGCAATTCTGAGGAACACCAGGAGGGTAAGGCGCCAACTCCAGTCAGTGTTGGGGACTTTACTGGAAGCAATGCCAGCACTTTCCAAGGCCTTGTACATCCGGGCATGTCTCCTTAAATGATCCTGTGTGTGTCATAGTCGAGCTGAGCTTTCAGAAGCTCATAACTAGGCCTGTCTTCCGAGGCTTCTCTGGGTGGACTCAACCTGCTGTCCACTCAGTTAACAGCCTTTAGCCTTCGCACACCCAGGGACTTGTGTATTACAAATGGCAATCCTTCCTTACGGTTCACAGAGGGCTCCTTGCTGTGTAAGGCCTCGCTGGCCTGCTAACCTGGGAGTCTTTGCAGCCACTAGATAATGGCCGTGAAGCTGACTCCCAAGGCAGAGACAGGAGGGTGAGTTCAAACAGGACACCATTGCCCATCCTGCTCTCTAAACTCCCAGCACTGGGCCTCACTGGGTTGGGAGTTCCCCTTACACTAAAGATGCCCTCTGCCTTTGGTGAAGCCAGCTATCCATGTCTCCCTGGCCATGGGCATTGGATGTGTATCAGAGGAGGAGACTGGGCATGGGTGGTGGAGTGTAATTGAACTGGTAGCCAATTGTGCTCCTTGTCGTTCAGCCTGGGGAAGCAGACAAAGAAGACCATGGGGACACCGGGCAGTACCAACCCCCACAGATGGTGGGCAGAAAGCCCCTCCGGGATTTCGTGGGACTGGAGGACTGTGACCGGCCCACTCGGGATGCCATGCTCAACTTCAGTTTCTTTGTCGCCATTGGGGACATGGATGAGGCCTTCAAGTCCATCAAGCTCATCAAGAGGTAAGGGTGTGGGTGCTGAGTCCACTGAGTGGTCATGTGGACACCCTTGGGGGTCTCGCTTCCTAGGTGTGACTTAGAATTCTGTCTTTGCATCCAGTGGTGTCTGTCCAGCCCATGCTGGCTATTCAGCAGGTGGGCAAAGTCGTCAGGCCGCCCCACTCAGGCTCTCAGGCTGTTTACTTCTTCACCCATTGGTGTTTATCTTGAAATGTTCTGGACACTTCCTGCTGGAACATCCTACAGGCGTGAAACTTAGTGCTGCCCACCTCCCCCAGGACTGAGTTTTCTGAGCAGAAAAGGTCTCAATAAGCAGGCCCTTGTGATAAGAGCAGAGGCGCAGCGGGAACAGGTCCCAAAGGGCCATGAGTGCAGGGCTGTCTGAGAACCCTCATCCCCATTGTGGAACAAGGGCCACGAAAGTTCTGCCCAGTGCTTCTGGACCTGCTTTTATTTCCAGAGTGCAGAAAAAAATACCAGAGAGTGAAACCAGAATGGGACAAGGGCGAAGCAGGAGCTGAGCAACCAAGGTGCCTGGCCTCTGTTGTGGTGCCATCGAGTGGCCTCTGACTCCTAGCAACCCTGGAGGACAGAGCAGAGCTAGCCTTAGGGTTTACAAAGCTGTACATCTTTCCAGAAGCAGACTGTCATATCTTTCTCCAGAGGAGAGGCTGATGGGCCAGAATCTACAAACTTCTAGCAAACAACCAAACATTTAACTACTCTGCCGCCAGGTTCCTGTAAGACTTGGGTGGTTGTTAGAGGGTATGGCGTCGTCATCTGCTTAGAGCCATCCTGTAAGAGAATGCACCCCTGCCCAGTCCGGGGCGTCCTCACATCTCTGCAGATCTCATCCTTGCAGCTGCTGTGTCAACCTGTCTTGTTGAGGGGGGGTCTTCACTGTCACTGACCCTCTACTTTACCAAGCATGTCTCCCTTTAAAAGTAACATGAGATTAAGTCTGGTGAGCCTTGCTTCCAAGGAGGATTCTAGCTGCATTTCCCCCAAGACAGAGCTGTTCTTCTGGCAGTTCATCTTGTGGGGCTGGTTTCAGTAGCATACAAAACATAACTCAAAAACAGTGTGAGATCTTGGCTCATTGTCTTTCTAGAACATTCTCCACCAGCCATGGAGATAAAGAGTCTCAGGGTTTGGGAGTGGGCTATGACTGCCCAGCAGGGCCCAGTCTTCTGCACACATTCCAGGTAACAGACCTAACCATAGGCTGGCAGGCCACACAGCCCACTTCCCACTGTTGGTGTTAGGTGCCATTAAGTTCATAGCGACCCTGTCTGAGCCACAGAGCTGACCTCTGCGCTATTGTGTGCCATCCTCACCGTCTCTATCCTGCACAAGCCCATTGTGACAGTCACTGTTCCAGGCCATCTCACTGAAGGTCTTCCTCTCCTTTGCTTACCCTCTGCATTTCCTAGAATGATGTATCTTTCCCAGGACTAGTTCTCCCTGAAAATATGCTCGGACTCTAGACATGTTTAAACAGTCACATCTATAATGTAAAACACCACCACATGTTCAGTGTCCCACTAGTATTTTAAAAAAACAGTTGAGGTTTTTTTAGCATGAGATAAGGCAAGTCTATTCTAGGAATGAGAGAGTAGGCAGGAGGAGGCCATCCAAACGTGCTCGTCTGTCCACCTGGCTGTGGGCCTCAGCCTGGGTATTTCTGTCAGAGGTGGCCTGTCCTTGTACGCTGTCATGTCATTGTGCCCCACTCCATGGAAACCCCAGCTCCTGTTAACCTTCATCCTAACACTAAGCTGCTGCACCAGTGAGAGTTTGGAGACCAAACTGATAGTGGGGTGGCCTTCAGCTTGAAGCCTTCTCATCTCTCACCTCTGAGTAGTGGTGGGGTCGACTTGTGTGTGGCACAGTAGTAGACCCTGGGCCTCAGACTGCTGGGCACTGATGCTGTGGTATGGATCTTGGGGTGTTTCATTAACCCACTATTGCAGACCCACTTTATAGAGGCCCAGTGTCCCTGTAATATGAACTGTTAACACAGTCACCTGCTAACTGAAACATCCATGCTTCCTGCGTCCCTAGGGGCGCCTAAGAAGACAGACCTGGGGGTCTCCTTCTGAAAGGTCACGGCCTTAAGAACATGGGAGCAGTGTCCCTGCCTCTGCACACATGAGGTCACCATGAGTCAGGCCTACTCAACACCACCACCAGTGAGCTTAGTAGAGTCCCTGATGGTGCAAATAAAATTCACATGCTCGGCTGTTCACCAAGAGGCTGGAGGTTCAAGTCCACCTAGAAGAAAGACTTCGCACTTCACTTCTGAAGAACTCTGCACTGGAGCACAGTTCTGCCCTAACACGTGTGGGAGCATCCGGAGTCCTGTTCAGCCTGACAGCAGGGGCGCTGTGCATACAGGAGACGGCCGATCCGAGTCAGGGCAGAGATGGAAAGTTGTTTGTGGTCCACAAAGAACGTGGCTGGAGCAGGCCTGGGAAATCTCCCCTGGGAAAAAGTAAGCCAATCTCTTAACTTTTTAAGCCAAGACGTGGGATCCAGACTCTCGGAATGAGAGGCCTGGGGGCCTGTGCACAGGCTGTGGTGATGGGGCATGTATGTGAATGACCCCAAATATACACTTGGCCCCACGAAGGCTGTCAGATTTTACCTCCCTCAGTCAGCAAAAGCAACAGACAGATCTCATTTTCTCTCCCAAAGGGATGGAAAGACAGGATTAAGACCCTGGATAAACACGCTGCCTCGCAGTGGACCCAAACTCACAATGATGGGGTGACAGAGTGGAACTGGCATTTGGTTCTAAGGTTGGGACTCAGAAAGCCCACTGCCCCATCTTTATCCTCTTCTCTGGGTTCCCACTGCCTTCTGGTTAGCCGCCAAATGCTTTAGCCACTGTGTCACCAGGGTTGCTAGGAATGAGACACCTCTGAAAGACAGCACTAAGAAGTCCGTGTTTATTTTAACTTAGAAAGAGAACCAGGAGCAGACTGGTGCACCGCTGAGGCAAGGAGGTCCTGTCTGAAGCTGCGGCCCTGGTGCTGAATGCTCATTTCTGACTCTGCAGCAGGACAGGACATTTCTGGAGTGTGTCCCTGGGTGTCCTGATGCACCAAAGGGACACTGGACCAGGATTTGCCCTAACTATAGGCGCAGAATAAATTAATCCCCGCCTCTCATGTGCCTCCATTCGGCTGTGCAGCAATGCACTGTGGAGGCTGTCCCCCATGGAGGCACACAAGCACGTCCATATGTACCCATATAAAGGCCCCTATGTAACAGTGACTGCACAGGCTATGGTACATGTATGTACACGTGGCCTTGTCCACACCGTGGCTATGATGGCCTTGCACCTGGTCCACACTGTCCCAGGGTCCCCCGCGTTCAGCATGGGGACTCCACATAGTCATTGTCCAGCCCACGGCGGAAGCGGGCAGCGAGTGAGCGGCGGATGACAATGACACGAGGTGCCATGCAATCCTCCCTGCGGTGAAGAATGTTCCAGATGAGGACAGCCGCTGCCAGGGTAGCCAGCAGGCAGGCGCCGATATTCAGATAGCAGGACCAGGACAGGCTGGTGTAGGAGCCGATCCTGTAGAAGGTCACCAGTCCAATGACCAGGACGAAGCCTGCAGGGGAAGAGGGCTGGTCAGGGACAGGGACCAGGTGGAGGGGTGCCGGCAGGGGGAGAGGGCTGGTCAGGGCCAGGGGGGCAGGTGGGGGGACATGGGAGAGCCAGCAGGGGTAGAAGGCTTGTCAGGGACAGGAGGCCAGGCCAAGGGCTACTAGCAGGGGGAGAGGGCTGGTCAGGGATGGGGGGCAGCAGGAAGAGAGGGCTGGTCAGATAGGGAGCCGGCAGGGAAAGAGGGCTGGTCAGGCACAGGGGACCAGACAGGGGAGCAACCCATGAGGCATCCTCTCCACCACCCCACCTCCAACCTGCCACCCACCCAGCGAGGTGTCCACACCTTCAACCCATCCTAACCCTTCCCAATGCTCCCTCTTTGCAGGCAGCTGCACCACCACCCACTCCCACCATGCCCCACCCAGCTGTCTGTCCTTGCCCCCTACTGGCCCCACTCCAGGGGAGTCTGAGCCTCCACCTACCTCCTTCCTAAGGTGTCCCTGCTCCCATACAACAAGGGCATCCACATCGCTACCCCACCCTGCAGGGTGTCTGCTTCGCCACTCTGCCCTGACCAGCCTCACCCCACACTGTCCCACAACTAGCCTTGTCCCTTCAAGCATAATCCCTAGTGGTGAGCTTATATCCACCCTGGTCTGGGACTCAGGGAGGGGATGGGGCCAGTTGTGGGAGTGGGTTGTGCAACATAAAGTAGTCAAATGACAGGCCTAGGAGACACTGCACCCGGACGCAGGAGGGCAACGACCCTGCCGGCCCTCCAGAGGAAGGCCCTGTGACTCGGTCCCCGAGGAAACAGGCAGGAAGGAAGCAAGAGCGGACACAGCGTCTCTGCAGGCTGAACTGCCGTCCCCGGCTGCCTGGCCGCCCGCAGGAAAGGACTGTTTGCTTTGGAAACGGAGCTGTAGAAATGGGACTCATGCCATGTGCAGGCGCTGGCCTGTTGGGAACACAGTCCCATACTGGCATGGCCAGGACACCTTCCCAGGCCCTTTATGCAGAGCTAGGGAGCCCTATGTCATCAGTGTCCAAGATTGAGGTGGCCTGCCTTCGACACCAGTGAAGTGGAGGTGGCAGTGGAGTCTGAGATGCATGGCCTCAGGTCTGGATGCTGATCTGCCCATGAAACAGGGACTTCTGAGCCCACAACCCCAGATGTCATGATGCAGGCATGCTCACATCCCTGCCCTGACCAGAGAGCACAGCTCGGGCAGCACGGGGCAGACTGAAAGCCAAGCCCATACCATGGGCAGCTGGAAACAGACACAAGTGCCTAGCACTCCCAGGACATGGACAACCTCACTGAACTGCCCTGAGGGGACTGTCACCATCTGGAGGTCACACACACCTGGACCCAGCATGATGCCAAGTGGCTTTCCTGGACACACTGGCTTGGTCCAGACCTAGTCATTCCTGGATGGCAGGCTGGGTGTGCAGTGAGCTCGAAACTAGGAAATTCAGAGCCTGGCCTGGCCCTCCTTGACAGGGCTTCAGCTCCACTGGGGTACTCAGGTACCAAGTGGAACCCATCTCGGACAGCTGTGACTGGGCTTGGGCAGAAAACCCACTCTGCTCCAGGCACAGAGGGGACTCGTGGAGCAGAGCTGACACCTGCCACACAGGAGCTGCTATGGCTTAGGGAGAAGGCAGAGGTAAGCCAGCGCTTTGGTGAATGGGGCTGCCAGCCTCAAGCGGCCCTCTCTACTGGTAAGGGCAACACAGGACGGACCTAGCTCTTCCAGGCCTCAACCAGAAGCTGCCCACTGCACATGCTGCTGCTCCGATGTTCTCACTCCCAGCGCACACATTGCATGGCCCTGAAGTCTCAGAAAGACCAAAGTGCAGATGAGGTCGTGGAGAAGGGACACAGGAGGAGAAATCAGGAAGATGGTCTTCAGAGGACAAGGTGAGGGTCTTCTCCCAGCACATGCATGCATGCACTTGAGGTGTTCGGCCTCCACACACACCCGTCCCAGCAGTTCCCTCCAGGGCCTGAGCTGGGGTGATGGGAGCAGGATCCACGGGCACCACCTCCAGCAGTGACGACTCCGGCATGAGGGTCGCTGAGCTCTGGGCTGGATCAACCAGTGGATTTCAGTGAGCTGATTTGTACTCCAGAGGGGACTTAGAAAACCAATCCTGCAGCCATCAGTCCCTCTACATGGCAATCTTGCATGACAGACTGGAGCGGCCCCATGGGGACTTTGCAGGAGCAGACTGTTACAACTCTCTGCCTCAGAGTGGCTGGTGGGTTTAAATCGGCGACCTTTGGATTAGCAACTGGGTACTTTACTCATGGCACCACCAGGACTCCTTTAACTAAAGCCACACTCATATAAAATCTAGTCTGACTCCTGAGCCCTCCAGTGGGCTTCAGAGGCTGTAAATCTTTGCAGAATAAGCTACCGCCTTGTTCTCCTTTGTAGCAGCTAACAGGTTCAAACTGCCAGCCTTTTGGTTAGCAAACAAAAGCTTCCACCACTGTGCCATCAGGACCTCTAGTTATTCTTCTCACCCTGATCTTGAGCTCAGCCAGGAAGAGGTGAGGAGGTTGGAGAGGCAGACCCAGGAGACTGACACAGAGTCAGCTCTGTGACAGCTGCACGTTGGAACCATGGCCTCTCCTTGTGACCAACAAGCTGCTGCCTTGGAGTGTGGAGTCAGGGCTGCTGGTCCACACTTCAGTCTACCTGGCAGCCTTCCTGCGGGGGCCCAGGTTCCAAACAGAATAAGGAAAAGATACCCATCTTCACCCAAGGTGATGGAGCAGAAGAGAGGACACAAAGAAATCTTGATGGCAGGAAAACTCTTGAAGAAAAACTGCCCTCAAATTGATTCTGCTTCATGATAACCCTCCACTGGATTTCCACAGTGTAAATGTTTACAGGCAGAGAGATGCCCGTCTTCTCCTGAGGGGAGTCCACGTGCTGCCCTTTCAGTCAGCTACACAACACATGGGAAATTATACAGATTTTTATTCCTTCCCTGGAAGGAATCACTGTCTTGCGAGGAGTCTGAGCATGTCAGGATTGTGGTGTCACTGCAGGAAAGGTCTTTGGAGTTGCAGGTCACAGATGGGACAGCTGGGACCTGGTGAGTGTGAGCCCAGTTCCAGGATCAAGGGAGTAGGGCCGACAGGCAGGAGCATTCCCTGTGGGTAGTTATCTTCTCCTGCCAGCTCTAGATGCTCTGAGTCCCTTGGGGCCTCGAGCTGGCTGTCCTTTTATGTCTGTGAGCATCCCCCGGTGCCCACCCCCGGTGTGGGGACATGGGCTATGCTTGCACAACAGGTAGAGCCACATCTCTGAGCCCATGGCAGGATATCCTGGCGCCCTGCAGTCTCTCCTGACTGTTTAGAGCAGGCCCTGGCAGGAAAGAACCTCGCTCTAAAATTAGCCCCCCCCCCGAGAAGAAAGGCATAGTGCCGCTCCCGGGACTGTTTTCCAGCAGAGAGCGCATCTAAACAGAGCCCAGAGTTTCCTTGCTGGGGAAGCAGTGCAGTGACGTCCGAGGGCAAGGCAGGGGCCAGCAGGAACGACCCAACTGCCTGGTGCTTTCTGAACCACCCAGCAAAGGGCAGATGCTTCTCCCGTCCAGGAGACTAAGGCAAGATCCCCTCTTCTTTGGAAGTGTGTACACATTGCAGACAGCACCATCTTGTTCTGAATTGGCAATCTGTAAGAAACAGGATTCCATTCCAGGCCCCTGGCACTCCCCTTATCCCCAGTGAGATTCTGCAGGAGGCTTCTCAAGACCTACACAGCAGTGGCCATGTGGCTGACAGTCTTGGGGAGCATCACAGCCAATGTCTTTTTGCATCTGTTTTATCTCCACCACTGGGCTGTCTCTTCCATCTAGCTGCTCCGTTATGTGATAATCTTCTGTGTCCCACTGGGATATCAGTGTCAATAGGAGGGCAGGATGTAAGTGTCTTAGGCTGAGGTGTCTATAGAGAGGCAAAACCACGGGAACTTATATATAGAAGGAAGATTTATCTCAAGGAAATGGCTTATGCACTTGCATAGGTTGGCAGGTCACAGCAGATGGATCGGACTTCAGGCTAGAGGCTTCTACTCACACAGCTACAGGGGCTGACGAACTCCACTCAGACAGCAGGCTGCTGGCTTCCAAGGGTGATAGGTCAAAGATCAGCAGGCAATATGGCAGGCCACTGGCTCAAGTCCAGAAAAGTCATGGTGACGAACCAGATGCAGGATCTCCATCCAACAAAAAGCAGGAGAACTTTACTAGGCATCCAGAGATGTTGGATGCCAGCCACTCCCCTGAAGAAACTCCCTTTCAACTGATTGACTACTTAAATCTCATAATGGAAGTGGTTATCAATTCTCACCAAAGAAAGACATATGAGGGTATGATTATATTGTTGTCAGATCTCATGAATGAGTGTACCAGACCTCATTAAAGGAAAGACTACATTAGATCACACCTAATCAAAAGAATGATGACGCTGTATCGACTGTCATCATTGTATCAGATCTCATCAAGGAATTACATTATAACCACCAAAGCAGAAACTTGTGGGCAGTCAAGTTGGCACAGCCATAACCAGCGCAGTACCACCCGCTTTCATCTCTGAGCCCTAACCACCACAGTCCATTCTTGTTTCAGAATGGGTGACGTTAAGGAGCCAATGGCTTTACCCAGGGTCACACAGAAGCCAGAGAAGGACCAAGATAGTGATCAGTTGACCCAGGACCACTCTCTTCTGCCCTACCAAATCCTCCTAAGGGGTGGCAACAGGGTTTTCAGTTGGGCCCACTAAGGGCCCCCGGTGGCCCCAGTACTGGCTTGCCTTCACACTGGCATTATCAGGAGAAAAATGTAGTTCTGTAGGCAAGGACTGGGCAGCCAGATAAACCACAGAGCTTTCATGAGTGAGGACAATGACCCAGACCCCATGCTGCCCTGTTGGTGGTGCAGGAAATTGAGAGTTCCCTCAATCCTATTCACTGTTGTGGGTCCTGATTGTGTGTGTCAGTCCACCCTGGGCAGGATTCTTAAGAACTGTCACCAGGAAACACTGGTCTTGAAAGTCTTCTTGCCATTTCTTTTCCCTGCCCTCCTACACACACTGCAGAGTGTGGGGTCCACACATCCAGCCTCTGGGAGCACTGGTGGTGGCTAGGAGTCAGGTGGATGCCTCCGCAGTGTGTGAATGGAGTTTTACCCCGGAGACACTCCTGTGCAGTGGGGATTCACGTGTGTGTGTATGTGAGTCTCCCATTTGTAAACCATGTGACCTATGTCTGCTGTTTGCTGCCTCTAGGCACCTAAGCCTGAGTCCCAGGGCCAGCCAGGACAGGACAGGGTTGGCCCACAGCTAAGGCCAGTTACCCCACTCTTCCTCCCTGTGCATCAGTCCTGCACCAGGGGTGCGACAGCTCCCATGGCCACACCTTGCCACCCTGTGCATTGTCCAGAGCTCACAGCCTGGTGGGGTGTGTCCTGCTGCAGGATGCACGATGGGCAGGAGGAGCCATTGGTTGCTACAGCCCTGCCCCAGACTGTCTGGACCTAGCTCCCCACCACGCTGTCTGCCCCTCACCCTGCCACAAGGTACTTACTGGCCAGCTGGAATGCGGCAGCCATGGCCTCCTCCCAGCAAGGGGACTCAGGGGACAACAGCGGCAAGCCTGCCAGCCCCAGCGCGAAGGTCAGCTGTCCTGCGGCCAGCGCCGCCGTGGCCACCAGGTTGCAGGCACGCATCATGTCGAACTGCACTACAGAGGGAAAGGAGGGAAGTTAGCCAGAGTCACATGTTCTCATCTAGTGAGCCCACCCCCCATGGGACAAAGCAAGGACCAAATCCACCCAGAGATGGTGGACAGAGCTTTCACTCACACCTGAGCCCAGCCTCGGGCTCAGGAGCCACATGCCAACTTCCACAACAAAGACACTAAGCATACTTACTGCTGTCAGATGAGTTCTGACCCACAGTGGCCCTGTAGGGCAGAGCAGAGCAGCCCCATAGGGTCCAAGTCTGCATCTTTACAGAAGCAGAATGCTTCATCTTTCTCACACAAAGCAGCGTGGTGGGTTCAAACCTCTCAACTTTTGGTTAACAGCCAGGTGCTTTGACTATTCTCCACTAGGGCTCCTTCCCCAGCTGCAGAGCTTATCAAAGGCCGGCCCCTGGCCCCCACAACACTGGGTCACTGCATCTTCTCTGGTCAGCCCCTACTCTCCCACCTCTCTCTCCTGGCGGTCTCAGGCAGCCAGGATACACAAAGGTGGTGAAGCCCAGGACAGTGAGGGGAAGTTCCCACCTCCACCTGTAACAGAAGGTGAGCAGTGCCCTAACTGAGATGTGAACAGCTCAATGGCAATTGGACAGCACCTTGCAAGTCTACACCAATCATGTGCTGTCAAGAGGGTGCTGACTCATTTTCAGCAGAATGGAACTTCTCCTCAGCGTGCACCATAATAACAACCTTCGACCTTCCACCTTCGCTGTGCAGTCGTGGTGTCAATCCATCTTGTTCCCAGTCTTCTTCTCTTTGGCTGACTCTCTGCCTTTTCAAGCATTGAGTCATTGTTCCGCTGACACCATGCCCAAGTCTCACCATCCTTGCCTCTGCTGCTGCTCTTTCCAGACAGAAGTATTGGTTCTCTTGGTCATCCGTGGTATGTTCAGTGCTCTTCAAAAAAGCCACAATTCAAAGGCACTGATTTTTCTTTAGTCTTATTCATTATCCCACTTCCACATGCAAAAGAGCAACTGAAAAGACCACAGCTTGGGTCAGGCACCTCTTAACCTTGAAATGACACTTGCTCTTTAAGCAGTTTTAAGAGGTCTTTGACAGCAGATTTGCCCGGTGCAACACATGTCTTAATTTCTTGACTGCAGCTTCCATGGCACCAGTTCTTTCTTCCTCCACATTCACTGTGCAGCTTTCTCATGCATACAATGCAGCGGTCATTCACCATAGTAAGTTAGAGGACCAGTTTCCTCTGAAAGCCCCAGAACAGACCATGCATCTGTCCATGAGCTCATCAGAGCCAAGACACCAGGCAAGGAGGGAGCACAGCAGGATATCTACCTAGGCATCCCTGTCGCCACTGGCCCGCATGGGACCATCACCCCTATGTTGGTTCTAGATATGCCAAGACGCCCCAGCTCCCATGACAGACTGTGTGACAGATGTAGATGTGTCTCCTGGAGAAGGGCCCCCTGGAGTAATGTGAGTCATCGGAGTACTCAGGGGGCTGACTTCTGGACATGTTGAAACCTGGTGTGAAACAGGCAAGCGAGGATGAGGGGATGTTCGGGGCATCCTGGCCCAGCCAGTCATGGTCTTGGGCCCCTGGGGCCGAGCTGTATGATCTGCACCTGAGGCCACCTGTTCCCTCAGGAAGTGTCAGCTCAGGACAGCTCTGTCTATGCCCAGTTGAGGCACAGGAACTAGTGTCACCTGCTCAGGTCACAAGCTGTGATGATGTTTCTGGTGTTCAGCAGATCTGTGGGGCCGCTGTGATGATGTTTCTGGTGTTCAGCAGATCTGTGGGGCCACTGCACGTGTGCGCTGGACCAGTAGTTGAATCTCTTGAGGTTGCCCAAGGAAGTCATGTAATGGCAGCGAGTCGGGAACAGATGTGGGGCAGGTGGGGACAGGTGAGTCCCTTGAGGGACTCTGAGGAGGTAAATGGTGGGAATGCAGCCCTGTAGTATCTCTGTTCACAGGGCCATCTCTGTGGATGTCTTTGGGGCATGTGGAGCAAGAGGGAAGAGGGCTGGGCTTTGCATCTGGGGTCAGGGCGGTTATTCCAGAGAGTGGAAGGTGTGGTAGTCTCCGGGTGTGGTTGGTCGGGGAGCATGTGTCTCCCTGGCCCATGGGGACAAGACCTCAGCTGAGGCCTTTAGGGCCTGCACAGGATGAGTCCATGATGCACAGGCTGTATCATCGGCTGAGTCACCCACCTCTCTCCCCTCCTCCAGAGGCTGGCTGATAGAGTTGGGAGGGAAGTGGAGACCAGCGTACAGGAAGGGCAGGTGCTGGCGGTTGGCTGGACAATCATGAGGTGAAGCCACGGGCCTTAGAGGAACTCAGAGGCAAGCAGGTCTTTCTGGACATCCCTCATCGCGGGCCCGCCCCACAATGGCCCTGTCCCACCATGGCAGCTCCTCCTGGCTCCTGCAGAGGCTGGTCCCTGCTCATGCCCCAGTCCTTAAATGCTGGGCTGAGACACGCATGTGCTTTGATCTCAACCACGAATGTGGTTCTTGCGCGGCTGGTGGGTGAGGGACATGTCTGATGAGCAGTCCCTCGCATTCAGTCGGCGCTGTGGTGTTTTACAGCCTCTTGAACTGCTATCCAAAATCACAGCACTCACTGCCCAGCCCCCGTACTGTCCTAAGGGACAGCTATGCTGACCCAGCCCAGCAATGGCTGCATCTTGGTAGATGGGTGTATTGTAGGTCATGGGGTGCTGGTGGCTGATCTCTCCTGTTCAGAGTTATGCCCCAACCTCCAGAGGAGCTGGGAGACTCTAGTACCCCAGGCCCATCATCAAAGGCTCCCTGCACTGGGGAAGTGGGTTAGGGGTCCCTACATGCCACCTTCATCCTCACTCACACTCCAGCCCTTTCCCTTGAGTCTAATTCAGTCCTCAGGAGACCCTGAGGGAATGAGGGAACAGCCTGATAGACTTCCTGTTGACATGAAAAACAGCCATGGGGACAATTCCCACCCCTGATGACCCTGCACTGAGCTCTGGTCGTGCAGCCTGTAGGGAGTTAAGCTGAGAACTCCCAAAGGCTACACCTGTTCAGTAGTTCAAATCCACCAGCAACTCCTAAGAGAAAGATGAAAAAAAAGAAGAGAAAGATGGGTGCCTCCTACCATCTAATCATAGCCTCCAAAAACCCACTGGGAGGTCAGCACTGATTTGGTTCCTACTTGGCCCCAGAGAGCTTGGTGCATTTCTTAAAAGGATCCTGCAGGACAAAGCAGAACTGCTCCATAGGGGTTCCAAAGCAAGTTGTGCTGCTAACCCAAAGGTTCAAACCACCAGCTCTGCAGGGACACACCTGCGACAGTCTCCTCCCTTGCTGTTGCTAGCCTCAGGAACCTGTTGGGGGGTTGCCATGAGTCGGGACTGACTCAGTGGAGTTGAGTTGTGCTGAAATCTTTGCAGAAGCAGACTGCTTCCTCTTCCTTCCATGAACAGCTGGTGCTGACATTTCCATTAGCAGTTAAGCACTTAGCTCACTGTGTCACCAGGGCTCCCTCTGCCCTCGAGTGGATTCTAACTCAGCTAGACTGCAGGGCAAGGCTGAACTGCACAACAAGTTTGTCAGGCTGTGACTTTTCCTGGGTATATATTCTGCCTCAGAACAGCTAGTGGGGTTTGAACAACAGACATTTTAGTTAGCAGGCAAATGATTGACCACTGCACCACCAAGGTTACTCCGTCAAGTGCCAGAAGGCACTGGTTTTCCCTGGTGTGATGGAGGCTCCTCCTCTAGAAGCCCCACCACCCTTTAACCCACTACTTGGGCAAGAGGAGGGAGTGGCCTGCAGCCGGGGATTGGGGGGTGGTAGATGGAATGGAGGTGAAGGGTCAGCACTTGTCCTGCCTCGCGTGTGCCTCCTCCCCTTGGTCCTCTAGATGTGCCTCCCGCCTGCCTTATGCTCATTCCCATTCCCCAGATGCACCCCTGCCACCCCTGCCTTATGCACTTACATTTGGCTGTGGCCCGAGCCTCCTGGAAGCCGGCTGCCTCAGAGCCCCAGCTCAGGGCCTCACAGCCCTGCTCGTCAGCCGCCTCAGGCCTGGCGCCGGGGCCTGGTCCCCCGCGTGCCTTATCAGTCAGCCAGCAGGCCCGCCAGAGCCCCACGCCGCGGCGTCGCCCGTCCTCCAGGGTCTGGTGCACCCAGTGGGTGGTGAAGGCGGCTGCATTGTTGAGCACCAGAGACACGAGGGCCACCAGCACAGCTGAGGCCACCAGCTTCTCTACGGTCATTGCTGTCCACTTAAGTCCAAAGGCGGTGAGGGGACCAAGTGGCTGCTGGGCGGCTAAAGGACGTCGCCGCTCATTCTTAGGGCCGCGCAGGGCTCCGCGGGGCCAGGGGGTCCCCACGCATCAATGCAGCTCACCCAGCCTCCTGAGCCTGGAGCAGGGCCAGGCTGGCGTGGGGCGCCCTTGCTGCCAAACCCATACCTAGGACTCACGGGATGACAACGCGGGCCCCAGGATGTGGGCACGAGGGTGGATAGTGGGTCTTCTGGCCTGCTGGTGGTGGCAGGAAACAAAGTAACTGAGCAGTCTGGCCTGGCCACGTTCCCTGGACCCGCCTGCCCGAGGGGCCCCACACAATGCCGCTGGGACAAGCCGTGTCCTCTCTCCACAAAGTGCCAGTCTGCAGGCCGCAGGCCTCAGCGAGGAAGTATGCGCCCTGTGTGTGTGCGTGCGTGTGTGCAGCCCTCTCAGCAGAGGAAATGGTTGTTTTTGAAGCTGTTTTTGGAGAGCGGAGGGCGTAGCCAACGGCAACAAACGGGCCAGCCAGCCAGCCAGCCAGCAACAGGATGTGCTTCCTGGGAGGAAGGGCCGGCACCCAGCCAGGCCCCCCACACCCCACAGGGGCTGAGTATGGGATCTAGAACCCAGCAGCCAGCTCCCAGTGCGCACCCACGAAATGCAGGGAGCCCCCATGTGCCATCAGGCCACTGTATCTGCTTTCACTGGGGAGGGCCGTGTTGGAGGGCATCCATGACATGGGGTGTGGAAAGTCACCCCCAGATCTGAGGAGAGGGGCATCAAGTAAGGAGAGCAGCCCCCACAGAGACCTTGACTTAAGTTCAGACAAGGGACGCACAGGCATTCCAGGGTGGGTGTCACCTGCTTAGGAGTGTCTTAGGCTGATGGATATGGGAGCTAAGTGTCCTCCCCCTGTTCCCCAGCAAAGTCCCTGTCTGTCTGCTGTGCCAGCGTCTCTGTGCATGTGGTGGTCTGGTTCCCTGTGTCAGCCCAAGGATGTCTCAAGCTCCCAGTGCCCCCTCTATTGGCCTGTATGCCCCACTTCATCCTGGAATGGATGTCACAGGCATTCCACACCTCTGCATCAACACAGAGACAGCCAGCCTGTGCTCTTCAATCTTCCCTCTGCCCTGGGTCCTCCATGCCTTACGTGACTGCAAAGGCATGTGACAACCAAGGCCAGCCCCATGCCCCCCATACTCCCTGTGTCAGCCACATCCATGATGACTCAGGCACAACATGTGGTTCCCATATACCCCACCCTGCCCCCCACCCTGCTTGACACCCCGAGATACTTTCACACAGCTCTCAGGCTCTTAAAAGAGAAGACCGTGTGCTGGAGCGCCCTCTGCTGTCCAGTTATGTTAGTGCTCTGCGCTCCCAGACCCAAAGTTTGCGCCCCTCGCTTTTCTCAGGTCAGTGGACCCTGCTCCTGGTCCTTCACTTCCAGTGTCCACACACACACAGGGGCAGTGGAGACTCCTCTTCTACCACTATGAGGGGTACTTCCTTGCCACAGGGACCCCTCCTTCAACATGACCCTGCCCTTAAGTGGGCTTTTGCCCTGTGCCTGTCCACATGACTGAGGGACACTCTTCTGTCTACCTCTAGCCTGGCTGGCTGGGCCCCACCAGAGGCGGCCTGAAAATCTGCTGTGAGGTTAGCAGCCACTTAGCAAGGGGCCTCGGTGAGTGCTGGGCAGAGGACACCAGTCTTCATCCTGGTCACCTAGCACCTCCCCGCCCAGAGAAAGAATTCTTGCAGAAACCCAGGTCCATCCCTGTGTCCATCTGCATCTCATCAGAGTTGATGAAGTACAGCTGTGAGGGAGGCATAGGCCCCTGAAAACAGGAAGTCAGCTGGACTCCAGGAGCAGAGGCACACCTCGGAATTACGGGGATCACTGAGGATGGCCTAGGTCTGCAATCGCTCCCAGACTTTGTCTGAAATCTCCCCCCCCCCCCGTGTCCCCCTGCTTGACACAGAGACAACCTGCCCTCCTCATTCATTCGCAAGAACTCAGACCATGGGTCTGGGCTACCACCAGGGTCCTCCAAGTCCCCTGCTCACTCTCCACCTCCCCCCACGCTGCCTCCAGAGCTGCTAAGGGAGGAGGGAAGTGGTCTGTTAGGAGACATACCATGACCAGGGTGGAGGATCCCACCTTGCATCCCAGGGCGTTCTGCATGCTAGAGGATGGGGGCTGTGTATCTTCAGACAGGCTTCCCTCCAAGCCCAACCTTAGGACACAGTGAAGGAAGGACTAGACCTGTCGCTTCTCCGTTTTGTGCAAAGAAAGGACTTAGGGCAGACAATGAGGTTTCTCACCAGAGATGTCAGAACTGGATGTGTGGGGGTGTAGGACACTTGCCTGCCCCATGTTGCTGGCTCACTGTCTAAAAGGACAGTGGTGGGATGTTGGCCTTATTGAGAGGGGCCCTATGGGTGTGGAGAGGGGTGCTGGCACCACAGGTGACCTTGTGAGGGTGCCCGAGCATCTCTGAATTACTGATCTTTGTGGGGTCTTCAGAGATCACTGAGAGTGTTTGGGAGGGAGGTCACCCACTAGGAGCTTGGAGTGAAGGTGGTGATGTATGTGCCACATGCATTCTGGCTTGTAGGCACATCTGCACATACATGCACACGCAGACATGTATGCACACGCACGTGGCCTCACTCAAACGCAGGTGTGCACACAGGCTCACGCACGCACACACAGGCATGAGTATATATTCACATATGAATGGACACAAAGAGGCATGGACATCCAATCAGAGATCCACACATGCTTGCACTTAAGTCTGTGTACACAAGCGTGCATATGGAGTCTTGTGTTTGCATTAATGCCATACACACAGGCATGCTCACACACAGGCATGTGCAGTCAGACCCTTGTACACACACAGTCACACACACAACCCAAGCCCACTGAGGCTCAGTCTGCACTGTGAGTACTGAAACCACTAGGTGCTGCAACAGAACAGGAGCATCCATTCAGGGCCTTATTCCCAGCATCCCCTGGGGTGGGTGCACCGAAATAGAGGTCTCCGTCCTGCCTCTACCCCTGCAGCATGTGCCCAGCAGAAAGAACCCCAAAGCCAAGGCTGTTGCAGCATGTCAAACTCAACTTGGCCACCGCTGTCACCACAGGGGAAGGCCCCTGCCCTCTCTGCAGACCATCACTCCATTCACCTTAGTGTCCAGGAGGGAGGGAGGTGTGGGACAGCACTGCCCGCATTCCTTTGAAGACGGGCCTGGCCATGGCAGCCATGGAATGTGAGAGGTGGGGCCTCCGGTCAGCGAGGACACGCTCTGCCTGCTCTGCTCTGTGACTGTGGTGTGTGAGTGTGTGAAAGAATGTGTGCCTGTGTGTGCACACAAGGACCTATCCGAATGGTGTATGTGTGTGAGCAGTAATGTGTACATGTGTGACTGTGTATACAGTGTATGTGGTTTTTATATTAAAGACTCGTGTGTGTGTGTGTGTGTGTGTGTGTGTGTGTATGTGTATTATCTACATATGAGAGAACATATATAGTGTGAGAAGGGTAACTGTGTTTCTGGGAGCGAGAATGCCTCAATGCTGTGAGTGTGGGAACATGTTAAGTGCTTTTGAATTGACTAAGCAGATGGATTGATTCAGTGACTGGGGTAACTGGGGTAGGTGTGCTGGAGACAGTGAGATTGGCACAGGATAGAGCAGGGAGTAGAGGGAAGGGGACATGCAGCTCTGAGCCCTCCTCTCAGTCACCTAATAGCCACTTGTCCCACAGTGAGGCCGTTTGGGAAAACATGGCACGCATGTGTGTGAAGACGCAGCGCCTGGACGTGGCCCGAGTGTGCCTGGGGAACATGGGCCACGCCCGGGGTGCTCACGCCCTGCGGCAGGCTGAGCAGGAGCCCGAGCGGGAGGCCCACGTGGCCGCACTGGCCGTGCAACTGGGCATGCTGGTGAGTGGACGAGCAGAGGAACAGCACCGCCAAGAGGGTGGAGACGGCAGGGAGGGGCAGAGTGTGGCTGTGGAAGTCCAGGAAAGGCTGGTCCGGAAGTCAGTCTCTCTGCCTATGTCCCCTCTTTTTTCTGCACTTAGTCTGCAGAAAAATTACCCGGGCTATGCGTAGTTCCCCATGCGCATGGGCAGTCATCCTGCATATCGTCTGGTTCTTGCCTCTCATCCATCCTTGCTCTTCCTCACAAATCACCTGTCCTGGTCCTTACCTGACCTCATCCTTACCCATCCGTCCTTGTCCATTCTCATTCCTGCCCGCCCTCATCACGTGCTGTGAGTCTGCCTTGAGCTACTACTCCCGCTGGCCATGAGGCCCCTGATGCCGGCCCTGTGTCCTGCAGGAGGACGCCGAACGGTTGTACAAGAAGTGCAGGCGTTACGACCTCCTAAACAAGTTCTACCAAGCTTCGGGCCAGTGGCAGAAAGCGGTGGAGGTGGCCGAACGGCATGACCGCGTCCATCTGCGCACTACCTACTACAATTATGCCAAGCACCTGGAGGCCAGTGCCAACTGCAGCCTGGCCCTCAGCTAGTGAGCATAGGATGGGTCCAGGGGCTGGAGGCCCATCTTTTCTGAGTTCTGGAGTCACTTGTTGGGGGTGGGGGCCATGAGGGCAGGGGCTGTCTGGAAGTACACCCAGGTAGTAACCAGGAACCTTCCATTAGGACCCCTGACACGTGTGCATGTTGGGAGCAAATAGGAGCACCCCCACAGCCATGCACAGGGACCCCATCTGTCCACCTTGACCCCCATGGGTCAGATTTTCGTGGACTGAGGCCTCTGTCTGCCCCGGTACCCCTCAGTTACGAAAAGTCAGACACACACCGATTCGAGGCACCCCGGATGCTGGCGGAGGACCTGCATTCTCTGGAGCGCTACATCAACAGGATGAGGGACAAGTGAGAGGAGAGCGGGGCGTGTGGGGGCGGAGCAGAGGGGGAAGCGAGGGGAAGGGGCGACCAGACGTAGGAGGGTGACCAATGAGGAGGAAGGGACGGGACCGGGGAGGGGAACGGGGCAGACCACCGGGTCAGTGACGGGAGGAGCGGGGAGCGGGAGCAGGGGCGGGTTAACGAGATTTAGGGCAGGGTGGACCAGGGACCGTAGACTCAGCCCCCTCCCCCGGCAGGACCCTGTGGCTCTGGTGGGCTCAGTACCTGGAGAGCCAGGGGGAGATGGAGGCGGCGCTGCACTACTATGAGCTGGCGCAGGATTACTTCTCGCTGGTCCGCATCCACTGCTTCCAGGGCAACACGCAAAAGGTGAGTGCCTGGGGAGGCTTTGGCGGGGGTGTGGGGCTTCCTGGATGCCCGACAGAGAAAGGGGCGCACAGCCGCCAGGAGTCTCAGCAGTTGGAGAAGGTGGGGGCCCAACGTGCAAGGCCACAGGGGCGGGGTCCTTGGGGCAAGGTGTGAGAGAGGAGCCCATCGGACCAGCGCCTGTCTCCACAGGCGGCTGAGATCGCCAACGAGACCGGCAATTTGGCGGCGTCCTACCACCTGGCGCGGCAGTATGAGAGCCAGGACGAGGTGCGGCAGGCGGTGCACTTCTACACGCGCGCGCAGGCCTTCAACAACGCCATCCGCCTCTGCAAGGTGCCAGGGCCGCCACAGCACCCTCCTGGCCGGGTGGACGGGCGGGCGCCCCCGGGACACAGGAGGGGGCCCAGCGGTGGCAGTCCACTTGTGTTCCCACAGCTGCTTCCTCCCTCATCGCTCAGCCACCAAGTCCCTGCTCCTCTGCCCACCCCAGCCCTTCTGGTGGTTGAGCCCTGTCCCTGTTGCCTACTCTAAACTGACCTGGCCCTTAGCTGGGCACGAGGTCACTGTGTGACTAAGAAGGGGGCGGGGAACAACAGCACAACGTGTAGATTGCAGATGAGGATGACAGAGCTGTGTCTCAGGTCCCAGATTCTGGCCAGGCCACCTCTCTGAAAACTTTTCGGTCAGGTCCGTCGGCTTCTGGTGGCTCTTGCTTGTGGCTGCTTCGCTGCAATCTCTGCTTTCATTGTCTTGTCTCCTTTCCTAAGGACCCCGGTCATAGAGGATTTGGACCCACACTGCTGCAGTGTGACCACACACATGAGGCCAGCTGATAGCATCTGCAGAATTCATATCCAAACTAGGCCATGTTCACAGGTGCAAGCCGTGGCTTCAGCGGGTCTTTGCACCTGTTAAAAAACCTTCCAGCGGCGGTTGCACCTCGTGGCAGATATCTCCAGAAACATGCAAAATATGGTGAACCCCCATAGTGAACATTTTCTGCCATGCTCCCTGTAACAGAATAACTGAACTGTGCTTTTAAAAGTCCTGGTCCCCAGCCCAAAGGACATAATGTGACCTCTCCCACACCCGCCCATCATAGGAGAACGGCCTGGATGACCAGCTCATGAACCTGGCCCTTCTGAGCTCCCCAGAGGACATGATTGAGGCGGCCCGGTACTACGAGGAGAAGGGGGACCAGATGGACCGGGCAGTCATGCTGTACCACAAGGTGAGTGCCAGTTCCCACGTGACCTCTCACCGGCACAGACCTGGACTGTGGCCAAGTGGGTGGCACTCAGACCCAGCCCTGTCTGCAGGCCGGCCACTTCTCCAAGGCCCTGGAGCTGGCTTTTGCCACGCAGCAGTTTGTGGCCCTGCAGCTCATCGCAGAGGACCTGGACGAGAAGTCGGACCCCGCGCTGCTGGCCCGCTGCTCAGACTTCTTCAATGAGCACAATCAGTACGAAAAGGCCGTGGAGCTGCTCCTGGCCGCCAAAAAGGTGCGCAGGCTGTGCACTTCGGCTTCCCACGCACCTTCCTCCCACGATGAGCATCCTTGTGACTCAAGGAAGTCCCCCAGCCAAGGCCAGATCCCTCCTGGATGGGCTCTTCCTTCCCTGAAGGGTGGGGCAGGCTGAGGTGGGGTCTGCGGCCCCTGTCATAGCCATGGTCCGGCACCACAGCATCACGAGGCCCCATAGCTCTGGCTGGCATGGTGGGGAGGGGGTCCATGGCCCCCTGCCCTGCTGCTTACAGACAGCTGGGGTCGCGGCCCCCGCAGTACCATGAGGCCCTGCAGCTGTGCCTGGAACAGAACATGACCATCACCGATGAGATGGCCGAGAAGATGACCGTGTCCAAGGACTCCAAGGACCTGTCAGAGGAGGAGCGGCGGGAGCTGCTGGAACAGATTGCCATCTGCTGCATGCGCCAGGGGAACTACCATCTGGCCGCCAAGAAGTACACGCAGGCCGGCAGCAAACTCAAGGTGGAGGGTGGGGGTGAGCTGGTGCAGGGTGGGTGAGGATGTGTGGGGACAGGGATAGTAACCAGCTCAGGGGATGCGCTGGGGGGGGGATCGCTGCTGAGGGTGGGACCAAACAGGCAACATGCTGAAGGCTGATGAAGGTGGATGCTTTTTTGGGGGAAATGGACTGAAAGTGGGAAGCCTGGTGGCTGGCTGGCCACTCTGGCCTACTCGCCTTGCCCTCAGGCTCCTGTCTGGTCACACAGTGGGAGCCCTTGTGCACTGAGGACTAGTGAGAGCTGAGCCAAGGTCTGCTGTTACGGTCCTCCCTGTGCCCACTACTGCTCTGGCTGACCACTGACCAGCCCATGCTCTCCTGCAGGCCATGAGGGCACTGCTCAAGTCCGGGGACACCGAGAAGATCGTGTTCTTTGCGGGTGTATCCCGGCAGAAGGAGCTCTACATCATGGCGGCCAACTACCTGCAGTCACTGGACTGGCGGAAGGAGCCAGAGATCATGAAGAACATCATCAGCTTCTATACCAAGGGCCGTGCCCTGGACCTGCTGGCTGGCTTCTACGATGCCTGTGCCCAGGTGCTGAGCCCTGAGGGGCCTGCGAGGGCAGGGGGCTTCACAGGGCCTGGGACATGAAGCCCGGGTTCTGAGGCTTTGTCTGCACAGGTGGAGATAGACGAGTACCAGAACTATGACAAGGCCCATGGGGCGCTGATCGAGGCCTATAAGTGCCTGTCCAAGGCGAAGGCCAAGAACCCCCTGGATCAGGAGGCCCAGCTGGCCCAGCTGCAGAATAAGATGACTTTGGTGAAGAGATTCACCCAGGCCCGCAGGTATGTGGCTCATGCTATGCAGCAGGTCCCTAGAGAAACTTCGTGTCACAAGAGCACTGTCACCCAGGGGTTCTCAAGACAAAGGGTGCTCCTCCAGGGGCCTGCAGAGCCATTCACATGAGCTGTCAGGGAGATGGTTCTGGAGAGCACCCAAACTCTCTGAGAGAGAAATCGGAGCGGGTCTGTAAGTAAGGGCTGTAGACCTCCACCTGCCAGTCTTCCGGGCTCCCCTCTTCCTCACCTGGCTGGTCCCCTGTGCCCAGCTCCAGGCCCCAAGCCCAGCTTCAACTGCCCCGATCTTCATGCCCACAGATATGACCCTCTTCCCCTAATGTTCTTCCCCACTCCTTTTTTTTTTACTCCGCGCCCGCCACCCCTCTTCCTCACCCTTTGATCTGCCTGCCACGGTTCCCATGGTGGGGCTGTGCCCACATACATTGGTCAGAGGTGCAGCACTGAGTGGACACACTGAATTCATGTCCTCTTAAGCCTGCCAGCTCCTGGGAGGGAAACCCTGAGACAGGCAGCACCCCAGCTCTCAGCTGAGGACTCAAATGGTCTCCCTCTCAGGACGTACAGAGAGGACCCCAAGGAGGCTGTGCGGCAGTGCGAGCTGCTGCTGGAGGAGCCGGGCCTAGACAGTGCCATCCGCGTGGGGGATGTCTATGGCTTCCTGGTGGAGCACTTCCTGCAGCTGGAGGAGCATCAGACGGTGAGAACCAGGGGTGGGTGAGGCTAGAGGAGGCAAAGCCAGTGACCAGAGGGTGAGGGCTGAGAGTGGTCTGCAGGTGGGCTGTGGTCACACAGGACCTGTAACTGACTTCCCCCCCCCAGTTTTATCTCCTCTGCTCCTTCCTAATTTAATAATTTGTGCTTATTTTGGGTCTGTTTTATTGACTAGGCCTTCACATACTTGGTTAACTTTTTATTAGTGCAAATGCACTCAGCTGTTTAATGCACAGTCCAGTGGTGTAACTCTCCATGCTGTGCAACCTTTATGCCTATCTTTTATGTGGGGTCAAGATTGGTGGATGATTTATCAACAATCTGAGTTGATGACACAACCCTGCTTGCTGAAACTGTGGAGGACCTGAAGCACCTGCTACAGAGGGTCAAGGACTGCAGCCTCCAATATGGATTGAGGCTCAATGTCGAGAAGACAAAGATTCTCACCACTGGACCAATTGGCAGCATTAGGATGGATGGTGAAGAGATTGAGATTGTCCAACATTCTTGGCACTAGTAGCCAGGAAATTAAAAGGCACATTGCCATTGGAAAGGCTGCTGATAGGGACCTCTCCAAAGTACTGAAGAGCAATGGTGTCTCTCTGGAGACTAAGGTGCGTCTGATACAGGCCATGGTCTTTGCAGTCACTTGTTATGCATCAGAGAGTTGGACAATGACCAAGGAGGATAGAAGAACTGATGCCTTTGAGCTGTGGTGCTGGAGAAGAGTATTGAGAGTACCATGGACTGCTAGGAAAACAAACAGATTCGTCCTGGAAAGGGTTAAACCAGGTGGCTCCTTGGAGGCAAGGATTCTGAGGCTCCGTCTAACATACTTTGGACATGTTGTGAGGAGAGACCGGTCCTTGGAGAAGGACATCATGCTTGGGAGGGTGGAGGGACAGTGCAAGAGGAGAAGGCCCTCTATGAGGTGGATTGAGTCAGTGACTGGGATAATCGGGATGGGAGTGTCAGAGACAGTGCGATTGGCACAGGATAGAGCAGAGTTTAGGGCTGTTGTACATAGGGTCGCTAAGAGTCGCAAGCGACTCAACGGCACATAACAACAACCTTTAACATAAACTTGGGAGTCCTCGGGGGGGAAACATCCCCTTTCTCTTCCCCTTCCATTCCAGTCACTGCTACCTGTGGGTTTTCCTTCTTAAAATGACACTCATCTGGTTTGTTAAAATTTCTCAAGTGCTCCTTTATTAGAAACATTTTTCTTGATACTTTAGGCACAGGAAGAACTTGCTCTGCAATCTCTGTTGCTAATTCCAACCTCCAGTCACACCATGGTTGCTCCCTACAATTTGACTTTTCTTGACCACAGTTGTTTATGTCTAGTAGTCCTTTCCCCCTGCACCACGGGCATTTCCCCACACTGTAGACTCTAGGTTTTGCTATTCTTGTCCAGAGTGTTGCTTTGCTGTTTTGTTAGGAAGTGATCACTGTACTGCTTTATTCCGTACACATTCCTGCCCCTGTGGTGGACAGCCGCTGAAACCCGTTTAGTACTGTTAACCTCTGCGATCTGTCTTAAGTCTCCTCTCCACATGTGGAGTGCACAGTCATCCAGGTATTTTGGGAAGAATTTATACTTAGAATTTGGGCTTCCACTCCTAGATCAGGAAATGTATTGCACTGGGAAAATCCAAAGTCCATGTTCTTCCCAAATTATTGAGGAGCAATGACAACCATCTGAGGACTAAGGCACGTTTGATTCAGTCTTTTAAGTCACTTGCTATGCATTGGAGATCTGGACAATGAATAAGGATGACAGAAGAATTGAGGCCTTTGAACTGTTTTGTTGGAGAAGAGCACTGGATATCCCATGGACTGCCAAAGAACAAACAGGCAGGTCTTGGAGAAGGTGCAGGCAGAATGCGCCTTAGAGGCAAAGATGATAGACAAAGCTTTGTCTCATATACTTTGGGCATGTTGCTAAGAGAGGCTAATTTTTTTTTTTTTTTGAGGACATTGTGCTTGGAAAAGTGGAGGGTCAGCAAAAGAGCGGAAGACCCTTGGCCAGGTGGACTGACACTGCTGTAATGGGCTTGCGTGTGTCAGAGATTGTGACTCAACAGCACCTAACAAGTATTCCAAGTGTTGAGACTTCTGTGGCCTTTCATTGCCCCGGTGGCTGGACTGGGCTGACCAGAGGCTGAGTTATAACAAACCAGCAACTGTTCCACATTTCTTCTGCCAAATGTTGACTTCCCACCAGTTTCTTTATGCTTCTATTTGTTCCCCTCCCACTGCCATTGATTTGATTCAGAATCTTGGGATAGAACTGCCCACAAGGTTTCCAAAACTGTCAAGTCTTTACAGAAGCAAACTGCTACATTTTCCTCCCAAGCCAGTGGGCTTAAACCAGGGAACTTTCAGTTAGCAGTTGAACTGGCTAACAGCTGCTCCAAAGGACAATTTAGGAGTCATTCCAATGCTACAAGGTGCACAGCCCATGGACATCCAGTGTTCTTCCCTGTAGGGGGCTTCACCGCACCCTCAGTCTCAAGTTGAGGCCTTATCATGCCCCTAGTCTGATGCCATCATCCCTCTAGTCTGACATGGGGGCCTCATTGTCCCCCCACTGATGTGGGGGTTTTGTCTCCCTTGTCTGAGGACTCTTCACCCACACCAAACCTTCTATGAATACTGCTATCAATGACCTTTCTTCAAAAATGTCCACCCTCCCCACACCCCACTGACCAATCATGGTTAGGACCTGTTGGAGGCAGGAGTGGTTCTGGTGGTGCAGTGGTCAAAGCATTCTCCAGTGGCATTTTTTGGAGTAGGGCCTCATTGCCCCTTAGTCGCACCTGCCCACACACACCTCAGAAGCAAGCCCAGTGCTCTGCTTCCAAAGGCACGGCTTTGAAACCCCAGGGAGCAGCTCTTTGAGCACGTGGGTCACCGTGAGTGGGGGCTGACTCTGCAGTAACCACACCATCCCCACGTGTGCTCACTGCCTCATCTCCTACCTCTAACACGCTCTTCCTGCATCACCTCAAAACAGAATCTGTAACCCCTGTTCCACTGTTAGGAGTGCTGGTCCCTTCTGGACTTGATGTCAGCTTGCCTAGGGGAAAGCCTGAGAGTCCCCTTTTACCCACAGCAGCCCTCAAGTGTCAACATGAGGCAGGCTTCAGGACGGGGGCCTGTGCTCATCAGCCGGCGGCCACTGGCTTGCCCAGTGATGTTGTCACAGTGCCCTGTTCAATGAGGACACTGGGGTCACGCGGTGCCTGGTGAAAGCACTAGCCACTTACTGAACTCCAGGTGGGTATCCTCACATGGTCCTTTCCACCACAGGCCTACAAGTACCTAGAGGAGATGCGGAAGAGACTCCCAGCAGCCAACATGTCCTACTACGTGAGGCAGTGCACCGTGGACGCCATAAACCAGGGCCTGGGCATCCCTCTGACACATCTGGGGCCCGAGTGTGTCCGCCACAACAGCGCTAAGGACATCAGGGACGGTGCTGAGGACATACTAGAGGAGGTGGACGAGCCCTGACTCCCGCCCCCCTATGGCTAGAATCCCATATGTGGGTGTGTCTTCGGGGTTTGTGTCAGGAGCAGTCAGAGCCTGGCTTTCGTGCAGACTGTGCTGTCGTGTGTGTGTAAATGGGATTTGGGCCAGTGGACTCACGCAGCCGGTCTGTCCCAGCCCCTGCTTGCTAAGTGCTCCACCTTTGGGGCCCTGCTTGCAGGTTTCCTATTTTATTCCTTTCTTCAAACAAGACCTCAGATTTATGTTCATTGTTCCATAAGATTCTGCCAGTTGAAAAGCCAAAGAAATCTCTAGAACTTCCTACTGCTGGTGAACTGTGGCATGTTACTGTGTTCACCCCTCCCAAGTGCCCATATTGGTCTGTAAGGCGTTGCAGCTGATCCTGGCCCACTCTGCCTCTCAGCTGCCAACTGGAGGCAGCCCTACAACATCTAAATAGCTCCGCCCACTGCCACAAAGACCTTTCTATACCTGCAATAAAGTTTATTTTGTCCAAGATCTGTGCCCTGTCTCCCTCCAGACTCTTGGGGTTCCTCTTTAGGGCCTGAGAGCCAGAGGGCTACTTGGTGCTGGTCCTTCCTTTCTGTTGTTGTGATGAGGGATGGCCCAGAATAGCAGGTGAGATGAGGGAGGACAGTGTCCCCAGGAGGGAGTTTGGGGCTCTGGGCAGTGGTGCCCTACTGGCTGGGACTCTTAAGTCACTGTAGCTGGCCTGGTATTCTGGCTCCACATCACCCAGGTGCCCTGGCCAGTGCATTCTTCGAAGACAGCTTCCCCTGGGGCTCCTGTCTTAGGATGACACCTCCTTGGGTTTAGCACAGAGGGGGTGGTCCTGCAGGTTGAGTGTCCCCACCTAAGGAGGAGGACATGGGAGGAGTGTGGTCCTCAGCTTCTCTGTAAGCAGCAGTGCCCGGGCAGCCAGCACCCTGCAGTCCCCATTGGGGTCCTCCTCAGCCACATCTGCCATAGGACAAAGGAACAAAAGGCCTGTTAAGAACTGCAGGGTAAGGATGGCTGTGCCCACCTGTCAACTCTCAGAAGCCTGAGCGTCTGGCCCACGGTCCCAGTGCACAGCACAGAACAGGCATGTCCCAGGTGCCAGCAGGACTGCGAGCCTATCCCTGTGGGGGCATCAGTAAAGCCCCTCTCCACCAGGATGGATGTGGACAGGTGATGGGGCCTGGGTTGCTCCTCCGGTCCCAGCCCTACATTCAACCAGGCTTTGGGATCAGGCCGAATGATACCCATGTCCTCAAGGAGCATCAGTCACTCAACCCAGACCACCCCTACACCACCAAGGGTCACCCCAACACCACTTGGGACTGCCCCAGATCACCGGGGTCCTCCTGAGAGGCCAGGCAGGGGACAAGTGGCTGGTCACGAGGCCTCCCATCCTCCACAAGGACACAAGGTGGGGCTCACCTGCCAGCCAGGCCCGCGTCTCCAGCAGTTCCTCCGCCAGCTCCATTAGCAGCCGCTCTGCAGGCACGCTCACCAGGACGGACACCACTGCTGACAGCAGGCCCTGGCGCACGTAGCTGGAGGGCAGGGGGGCGTGAGGCACTGCTCTGGGCGGGACAGCAGCCCTCACCAGGCCTGCTGACCCAAGTTAACACAACTACCCACACACTCTGTGTGCCCAGCACATAGCACCTGGCCCCTGTGTGTCCTCTTCCCCTTGACCCTTCAATCCTTCCCTCGTCTCGTGTCCTCATCCCACTATGCCCAGTGCACGTTCCAGCACCACATTCCCACCTCATCCCTGACTGCTCCACCCCCGACTTGTCCTACCCCCCCTTCACGAGCACTCCAATGACTCACGGGTCTGTGTGGAGGCGGATGGCCCATACGAACTCCAGTAGGGCCTTCCCCATGGACACAGCCACCTGTGGAGACAGCGTCAACAGGGCATAAGGACATGTGCGGGTGAGGACACCCTGGTATAGCATGGACTCCACACTCAGACCTGGGTACATGCCACCCACCCAGCCTCTTGCCTCAGGGGGATAGATGAGTGGTCAGCAGGCCATCACACACTCACCGTGGTGTTCACAGCCAGGTACATCAGGGCCCCCAATGTGTGGGCCAGCTGGCCCAGGACTAGGTGGTCATCTCCCAGAAGGTCAAAGGTTACCAGAGGCCTAAGCAGAGGTCACTGGGGTCATAAGCTGCCTGCCAACCACTGCCCTGTTCCAAGTGGATGATACCAAGCACACCAGGAGCCAGCAGGAGAGGGGCCCTCATAACTCCACACCCCAAACCAAAGTTCTGGCCAGACCTCACTGTGACTGGGACATCTGGGAGAAGCAGACAGTAACGTCTAGAGTTTGAGAAAGCAGGAAACCTAGAAATTTCATTCCAGGCCACTACCACCCACTGTCCTGCTGCAGACCCACCAGGGAGGTGCCAGCCAGCTAAGTGCTGACAATGTGGCTTTCAGGGCTTCATGGCCCCACACCCACAGGTCCCCACCCTCACTTGTCCTATCCACAGTCCTACACCCTTGACCTGTCTCAGCTCACAGCCCTATCTCCCTCATCTCAACCTATACCCACAGTCCCGCACCACTGACTTGTCCTAGTCCAAAGTCCCGTGCCACTCACCTGTCAAAGCGCTGGATGAGGGGAAAGAAGAAGCAGCCGGCTACACTGTTGAACTTGTTGGGGCCACATGCAGGGTCCGGCCTGGGGGTGCCCTGCCAAGACCACGTGGCTTTGTGAGGGCAGCAAACTCATTGCCATGCACTGAGGATGACTCATGTATGTCACACTGGCCAAGATCTGTGTTCTCATCTCCGTCCATCAGAAAGCAGGAATAACCCCCACAATGATGGCCACAATGTCCCTACACACTGCCCGGTGTCCCAAGGACTACATCACCCCAGTTGAAAGCCCAGATGAGGCCTGGATGCTCATGATGACAGAGCCCTCATTCCCTCTAAGGTGTAGTCTGGACTTTGTTCTTTGCATAGTGCTGACCTGCCATGGCATCTGTCACATAACCCAGGACATTGTGGCTTACCCCCTTCAAGGGCCTCTGAGCTGGAGGCCTCTATCCTCTGGTGGACCCCTTGCTGTGGACAGTGAGGGGGGCAGTGCACCATGCACTCTCTGCTCAAGCCTCTGCCCTCCTTTCAGATCTGCCCGAGTCTTGGGAAGGGGGTCCCATGACCCTTACCTACCTTAGAGAACCGCCTGGTCTTGCTACGAATGCGCTCATCCACCACTGCCTGCCAGTCTGCAGGTGCCAACTCACCCATCTGGGAGGGGGGCAGGACCGGCTCACCCTGGCCAGTGAGACTGAGGGGTCCTTGCAAGGAAGCCGTGCTCTGCCGCCCGGGCCGAGACAACTCCTGGGCAGCAAGTGTGAGAACCTGACGGGAGAGACCACTGCTCTCATCACTCTTCACCCTCAGCTCGCCAGAGATCCCACCTCTAAAAACCAGGAGAGGGTCGCTATAGGAAGATGGTGGACAGGTGCTGCTTCCTGGCCTGCTGTCCCCTGCAGAGCCACGCTGCTCCCCTGGAACTCCGCCACATCAGAGAGGAGAGAGAAGTTGTGTGTAACATGGGGAATGAGCAAGGACAGTGAGATGTGGGCCCCACACCCTGCAGTCCCACAGGAGGACGCCCCGGACAGCAAGTCCAGAGGCAGGCATCAGTGTCCAGGGTTGACGGCTGGGCAGTGAGCAGGCTTCCACGTTGGAAAGAAATGTTTTGGAATTAGATAAAGATGATGGCTACACAATCTCATAAAGATCCTAAAAACCTGGAATTAGATGGTGAATTGCACGGTGGGTGAATCACGTTGCAATAAAGCCGGGTGATCCTTGGAGGCAAAGATGATGATGCTTAGGGCATGTTGCTGGGAGAGGTTATTCCCTGGAGAGGGACATCATGCTCGGGAAGGAGGAAGGTTACTGAAGGAGAGGACGACCCCCAACCAGATGGACTGACACAGCGACCACAGAAATGGACTTTAGTGGGTCGGAGATTGTGAGGATGGCACAGGACAGGACGGGATTCAGATCTGTTGTTCATACGGTCGCTATTGAGTTGTATTCAACAACACTTAACAATAACAACAACCACCCCTATGCTAACAAACAGCTGGAGTTCAAGTTCACCCAGGGGTCCTTCAGAAGAAAGGCCTGGAAATCAGCTTTCATAAAACTGGTGGTGGTGGGTACTGTCGAGCAGGCTCTGTCTCAAAATCAGTTACTGGAAATCCTACTGAGGCCCCCAGGCCCCTGCAGCCCCTTCTCACCCGCTCCTTGGCCTGCAGTGGCCACCCCCCAAGCCCTGGGAGGGGGTGAGGCACTCACATCCAGGATGTCCATGCGCTGTCGCAGGCTGTAGTTGAGGGCGTAGAACTGTGCGGTCAGGTATTCCGCCACCTGCGCCAGCACAGGAGAACTTGAACTTGTAGCCCCCGTGTCGGCTCCAGATCCACACCTGATCCCATGCACGACTGCAGCCCATCAGCCCAAGCCCACTGAGACTCACCCTGGCTGGATCCATGACAATGACAGCCACCAGGGCTCTGCGGCGCAGCCCTTCAAAGCCTGCCACACAGGTCTTCTCCTCCAGGTGCAGAAGCACCTGGGCCAGCTCCACGCTCACCTGCACCAGTGCAGCGCTCAGGTGTGCCTGGAGCCCAGGCACCGGCAGAGCTGTCCAGGGCAAGCTAACACTTCTTGGGCTCCCAGTGGCTGCCTGCTTCATTGCCACCCCAGGGTCCCCACCCATGGGCCTAGGTGGCCACTCACCTTACTGGCATCCTAGTGTTCCCCCACCCAAGCCTGGGCCTACCTACCCCAGCTCCAGCCTGCACATGTCTCTCTTTGGGATTTAGAGAGGGCAGCCCCACACCTCTGGCCTCGCCTGCTGTCCACTCACCTCCTGGGTGGCTGCTGGACTCCGATAGACCAGGCCCTCCAGTGCCTGCAGTGCCACCTCCCAGAGCTCCATGTCCTCTGAAGCCAACAGAGCTGCACAGAATAGGTCAGGGTCAGCCTTAGCCCACCACGGCGGGGACACGGGGAAGACTGTGCCTGGGAGATGGACATGCCCTACCGCAGGAACTCACTCAACCAGGGACAGAGAGCAGGGACGAGGGCTATGAGGACCACCCAGAGTACCGTCAGCCGCTTACCCACCTTCCAGGCAGTCTCGGACGTACATGGGCGCCTTTCTGCTCTTCAGCTCCGTGTCCCCCGACATGTTATATGGGACAAACTCATCATCACTGCAAAGAAGACAACACAAACACAGATCGCCCAGTGAACAGAAAAATATCCGGGTGCCAGGGGCGGAGGGCCATCCTGAGAAGAGAGGAGAGGGCTGTCGGGAGCAAGCAGGGAGAACTGCACCCACCTGTCCAACTCAGAGTCTGCCCCTTCGGGCGGCACAGGGGCCATGTCGATGGCTTGTCTGGCATCAGCTTCAGTCTCTGCAGACACTAGTTCAGCAGATACACTTCTTTGGAGACAAAAGCACAACACTCAGCTGCCTGACGGCCTGGGCTTCAAGAGCAAGAACCTCTCATAGTCGAGAACAGCCCTTCCTTATACTCTGCTCTGACCCCTCTAACTCTTCCCCTCCACTATGGCTGGTGCAACAAACACAGGGTGGCCCGTGGGAGAAGTGTGGACAGAAGATATGTCAGCACCAGAGACCCTCACTCCCACAGATGAGAGCCCCCTACTCCCTCCAACCCCCAGATGAGGCCTCAGCCCCTCAGGTAAAATTCTGCCCCCTCAGATGAGACCCTTGCCCCTGAGATGAGGCGCCCACTCCCTCACATAAGAGACTCCCACCCCCAGCATGGAACAGAAGATCCTCACCCTGACATGGAAGGGTGGCTGTCTACAGACTGGGGAGTCACCAAAACCAGCATCTCACGGGTCAGCTCATCCTCCTCATACTGGACACACAGAGAAGCCATGGTCAGTGACAGTCAGTGACACCTGTGGCCTAGGCTGGAGCAGAACTACTGATGCTCATCCTACACATCTGCTCAGTGACCCATGTCCACCGATGATAGTGGTGGCCTGGACACCATGTGGATAGCACAGCGTTTGTGTCCTACAGCCAAAGACTGGGGTCAGGGCAGAGAAGCAGTCACATTCTGCCATGGTGGCCCTGGGGCCTACTGAGCAAGAGGGAGGGAGGGTCACATGGTGGGCAGCAGACTGGGGCCTTGCTGACCCCTGCAGGGGTTCAGGACAGACACACCCGAGTGCAGGTGTCCTGCACACTGCTTCACTTGATTCCACAATGAGTGTGCAGATAACATATCAGATAAGGGACTTATATCCAGAATTTATGAAATACTTGAGCACCACAACAAGATAAAGGTAAATAATCCAATAGAAAAATGGGCACAGGA